TAAGGATTATGGTGAAAAGGCAGGGAAGTGAAATTGAGGAGTATCAGATCAGACATAATCTCACTGAATGGAGCAGACTTGATGGGCCTGAATAGTGTCCTGGGTCTTATGGTCTTACTGAAGAATGCCACGCACCTGGCTAGGTAGCAGCATTGCCTGCCCTGGTGAAGACAATGCCAAGTATGCTTGCTTGGTATGCAATTCAAGTTCACATCCAATGTCTCTACTACTGGACACAGCCCATTCCAGGTTCCAGACAATCAAGACCATCCAATCCTGATGACGGTTTCACATAGATTATTGAAGTGGAACATCAATTAAGGAAAATTGATGGAACAGTGGAGCACATTCATGAATAATATGTATTCAAGCTCAGTGTACAGAAATATTCAACTTTAAATCTCCTGCAGCAATGTCCATTGACATTGCAGACTGCCTCTGCTGGGTTGAATATATGTCTCTTGAACCCATGCTTCAGGATCTTTTTCATTGAATGTGCTAATTATATATTCTTATCAAAGGACCACACACACACACACACACACACACACACACACACAGCTTCCAATTTTTCTCACTGGAGCTGAATCACGAGTAGTCAGAATGAGATCACTGCATGGGCTTGTGCATGTTAAATATAAGACACAGCACCTGTCCTCAAACTGATCTTAAAATAAAGTGTCTTGTTCTGTGAATGTGACTTTTATAGAAGAGGAAATGTGATTGGCATCTTAAACAGCCATGGTTAAAAAGCTGATTTGGATTAATATGGCACAAAAAATAAATAAAGACAAACCAAGGATCATGGTCTGAACCTATCTAATTCCTTTAACATTTAAAGGAAATCTGTTCATAACAAACTTATAATTTTGTCACCCAAAACAAACAAGAGAAGTTTCTCATTTAGGAACAGAAATGCTTTCTACCTGTGCTATTTCCATCTTTACTCAAAAAGCATTTGCAAAAGCTATGAAGGCTACACAATGAGGATATTGAGATGTGGGGGATACATAAATATCTATTTGTATATTAAATTGTGCTTGTTCCTCGCACACTCCAACTATCACAGAGGGCTTTCAGCACTCACTTAGTCCACTGGGGATCTGGAACACTGAAATTCTCACAAATGAAGACGAACACTTCAGTACCACTCATGAGGAGCTAAATGAATGAGATAAACTTAAATTGGAATTTATTTGGAGTAACTTAGAACTTCAGATAAAAGAAAAGAAAGCCTTGAGGTTCGATAATTTCTGTGACTTTAGCTATCCCAAAGTTCGTGGTTAACACAAAGCTGGGGCTGATAGTTGGCACTAATATAACAGCTGACTTTAGTCTGTTGAGGCATTTAATCTCTTGCAGCAAGATATGGTCCTTGGGCAGGAACATAAAGTAATTTAAACAAACATTTTAATACCTCAAATTAAAAGCCTCCTTCTCACTTTGATGAATTGTGTATGCATAAACTATATCCAGTTGACAAAAACATACAGCTCAAAAATATTGTACAATGGAGTGTTCCTCAGGCTTTAATAGTGGGAATACCTGGGCTGTAAAGCCTAGCAGCTTAAAGAATTGCATTTTACCTCCATTGTTGTGATCCAATGTGTACTCCTTACCAGTTGTTCTGAAATTCATGAGATTCAATCTGAACAAGTTCCACAACTGATGACTGCATTTGATAAAAATCATAACAAGCATAATATTTTGTTTCCTTAACATAATGAGTACTGAACCTGATAACATCAGTGTCAGATTGAAATCTCTAAGGACAAGAATCAAAGTGTTTATGCTCACTTTGCTGATATAAGGACTGAAATGCGTTCATTTTTACAATACATTTCAATATTAGATATCTTCTCATCAACCTAACCAGAAATGTTATTCCAAAGCAGGTGGGACATAGTCCTGGGTCTTTTGGTTCAGAGGTAAGGACGCTGCCACTACACCAGAAGAGCCCTACAGTTTAGTAGTACAGAAGTTAAGACAAAAAGGTACAGTGATTCACAATTAAACTATCTCTCTGCTTGCTTCTAAAGATGGATTGGCAATTTTAGATGTGCACAGGAATGAGATTGAAGCCATCTCTTCAGATAACTTATAGGTAAGTTGCTTACAAAAACAGAAGTTGCTGGAAAAGCTCATCAGGTCCGGCAGCATCTATGAAGGAAAAATCAGAGTTAATATTTTGGGTCCGGTGACCCTTCCTCAGAGAACCATAGGGCTGCCCTCTCATTAGAAAGATAACTGGTGGTGATTTAACCTGAGGGTCACCATGCCTCTGGCAAGGGGAGGTATATTGCTTAGACATCTTTTAAGGATTGCTGGCAATTAATTGATTGCATGTATTAGTGTTCTTGTGTTGTTGAGGCAATGACTATTGGGAGGCAGTTCCAAAATAAAGTGTATAAATATCATCATCCAATCAATGTCACTACATTGACAAAAGCAAATTCTTCATTGACCAAAGCAAATTGTTCAGTGACACTGGGCTAAGAGATGAGGATGCATTGTCAGAATGATTCCACTGTAACCAGTTCACTAAATGTTTTGCTATCTCAATGATGAAATCGGTTAAGATTTCATTGCAAAACTTTTTTTTTAGTTTCAGTTTAGTTATACCAGATTTTATGTTGATATGTTAAAATAAAGATGCCACAGTCCCATAGGGCTGTTCTTCTCATTAGAGAGAGATGACTGATGGGAGAGAGATTGAGAGGGAGGGACCTTCATTGTAGCTACTGTTCTGCACTTGCAACCCACAGTTTTCCTTTCAAATCTCAGCACAGAGAAACAGGAAACAGAATTCAGTGAATCTGTTGATTTATTGTAAAATGAAAATGGAAACTACTGTACTGTCATTAAAGCCTTGCCTGGCCCAGTGATATCCTCCAGGGAAGAGACTTGTCATACCTTTATTGCTAATTGAGGCTGATACTCTGGGGGTTGGTTAGCTCATTTGGCTGGACAGCTGGTTTGTGATGCAGCAACAGCATGGGTTCAACTTCCATACATGGGTTCAACTTCCATACCAGTTGAGATTATCGTGAAAGATTCTCCTTCTCAACATCTCCCCTTGCCAGAGGCATGGTGACCCTCAGGTTGAATCACCACCAGTCATCTTTCTAATGAGAGGGCAGCCCTTTGGTTCTCTGGGACTATGGTGACTTTACCCTTTTACTGTCAGCAGAGATTAAACTAGGAGACCTATTAGCTGGACACCCAATAGGCAATAAATGCTGGCCTAGCCAGCAGTGCCCTCATCCCATGAATGAATAAAGAAAAAAAAACTAGCTTCATCATTCAATATAATCATGGTTGATCTGATCACTCCACATTCCTGTCTGTCCTGCTAACCTTTAATGTCCCTATCCTAACAATAATCTATCTTTGCCTTAAGTACATTCAAAGGCTCTGCTTCCACCGCCTTTTGAGGAAGAGCGTTCCAAAGACTCACGACCCTTTGTGAGAAAAAAAGTCGCATTTTTTGTTTTCAAGAGGCAACCTCTCGTATTTGAACAGTGACCCTTGGATTTACATAAGGGGGTCAATTAGCTGTATGACCAGTTTGCAATAGAGGGTGATGCCAACAGCATGGGTTCAATTCCCGCACCAGCTAAGGTTACCGCATAGGGCTCTCCTTCTCAACCTCTACCCTCACCTGAGGCCTGGTGACCCTCAGGTTAAGCTATGGTCATTACCTCTCTGTAATGGAATTATAGTGAATTTACCTTTACAGATCAGATTACAAATCTACTTTTAGTCCAGCTTGTAGAGTGGACAACAGCCAGGGACATCAGTAACTGACACAATTAAAGGGAAAGTGGAGCATATAGCTATTGAATCCATTGTAATAGAGACTAATTAACAAGAATGTATGAAACGGGAACAAGAGGAGACCATTCAGCCCCTCAGTCCTGTTCCACCATTCAATAACATCATATCTGATTGCCTCCTCCAAATAAACTGTCTGGAACTGTCCCCATGTAAGAAATAAATGAATTCCCTGAGTATCGATAAATGACTTGAATAAAGTTAACATCTGAGCTTGCACAATGCTTTCGTTTTGACAATTTCAAATATTCAAAACAAATTTTTCCTCACCTTAATTCTAAACAGTTGACCCCGTTAGACCGAGTCTATGACCCTTAGTTCTTCTCCACAGCCAAGGCAACATTCTCCCCATGTACATCTGATCATTCCCTCAAGAATGGCACAGGTTTCAATTAGATCACCGCTATTCTGCTAAACTCCGTGAATATATGCCAGATCTACTCAATCTCTCCTCATAACACATATCCTTACCTTCAGCCTGAAATCAGTCTCATGAAACTTTGTTGTACTTTTTCAAGACAAGTATATCCTTCCTTAGGTAAGGATATCAAAATTATGCATAGTGCCCAGGTGTGCTCTCACCAAGGTGTGTGCAATTGTTTAAAGTATTTTCTTTCTGACAGCAATAAAGACTAAGATACCATTTGGTGTTCTAGTTGTTTGCTGTCATGGCCATTAACCTTGTTGTCAGGAGCCTCTTTCTTCACACAAGATATGGGAAATAATTTTATTTCAAAATCAGTATTTAACATCCACACTGGTTGCCATTAAGAGGCAACCACATAGAGTGGAACTGATGCCCTCCTCTGAAGCAAGTTTGAAGACAGGGGCTAATTTAACCAGGCAGGAGGGTTCCAAGTGCAAACCCCGCCCCCTTCACCCCACTGCCCGTGTTGGCCTTTTGCCCACCCAAGCACCAACGGAGGTCCTGAATTGGGAAATGAAGGCCCAAAAGGCCTCATCCCACCAGCAGCAGATAGCAGGGGGGAGGGTAGTTATTGCATGGGGAACCTGAAAAGCAAACCCTTGTCAGGGTTGCCCTTGGACTTCCAGGGCGGTGCCTGCTTAAAGGAACAGTAATCAGGAAGGGGAACCTCTAAAAGCTAAGCCTGCACCGGCCCATGACACCCTCAGTCATCCTACACTGCTGCCAGCTCTCAACTCACCTCTGACCTGGATCCTTTGTTTATCGTGTGTTTCTGAATTACCACCAGCCACCACTGCTCCCCTGGTGGCGCCACCGGCATTAGATAGCTGTTGGCCTCTTAATTTGGAAAGCATTTTATTTAAACCAAGTATAATCCTGGCTGGAAACTCTCATGGGGCAGAGGTTTCCAACAACATCCCCACCCACCTTGCCACCATCATCACCACTGCCCCATGGTTCTTGATTCCAGAGGGGACCTGCTGCTATCACATAATAAGGTGGGGCTCCACCCACTGATGTGATAGAGCTCATGTTTGATCTCTATCCAGTGGGTCACCCAATCTAAATTTCACTCAGTATCAGCTTCAATTAGCAACCAATGTGTGACAAGTCTCCTTCCTGGAGGACATTAGTGAGCCAGGTAAGGCTTTAATGACAGTGCAGTAGACTTAATTTTTATTTTACAACAAATCATCAGGTTCACTGAATTCTGTCTCCCATTGTTCTGTATTGAGATTTGAAAGGAAAGCTGTGGGTTGCAAGTGCAGTACCATTGCTACCATGAAGGTCCCTCTCTCTAACCTTTCCATCACCAATCATCTCTTTCTAATGAGAGAGCAGTATGGTGACTGTACTTTAACATAGCAACTATAGGTTAATGTATCTCGGAAGTATGTTAAAAATTAATTCAGTCCCTTCTCTTTGGTTTCAATGACAATGGTTTCAAGAATGCAGTCAGAGTGCAAATTGCTGAAATGGTATCATGAGAACAATACATACAATACCTGTGGCAGGGAGTGTGATTCCTACTATTACAGGATGTGGAAATGTGACTTTCAGACCTACAGAATTGAGAGAAGATTAAACTAGCAGCTTGTGAAGTGAGAGGAAATTTGAGTGAGAAAGTAAAGATGTAAAAAAATACAATTATCGTAATTACCTCTGCAATCCAGTACTGAGTGACAATAAATTCTCTTATGATTCTAGGGGATGCCACAATTCGACAGGTGTTAAGCCAGATAACAACAGACAGATGTGTCTAGTGCCTCAGGAAACACAGAACTGTCTGTTGCCTTTGAAATAATTGCTTTACTTTTTCTTGCCAGTCTTTGTATCCTTTTCAGTCAATACATGTCAAGTCTGTCAATGACCTGCTATAAAATCTCAAACATAAAATTTCAAATCTCATTTAATATTTTTTGTGCCCGATTCCATGCATATGTTTCTCCTCATTAGTTCAGGAGGATGACGTTTAACAAACACAGGATGTCCTCATTACACATATTTCTAGCATTTTTGCTTTGTTGGTAATATTCTATATGAGCTTTTTTCACCTTAATTTGAAAAGCATTTTATTTAAACCAAGTAAAATTCTGGCACAATAATATTTTCATGGGACTTTATTTCAGATATTGTGGACATTCAACAGGGCAATTAAATGACATCACCAAGAACTAAAAACCCATCCTGGAAAGTGACATACAAGTAAAAGCATCATTTAGAAATATATAAATTACAAGGATAAAGTAATTGCACTTTACACTGAAAACAGTAGAAATGGAGCAACAAAAAAACCTTAATATAAATAATTAATAATAAAACATTTGTGTGCATAGGAGAGTTATTTGGACCTTAAGCAAGGTTTTGTACGTTGTTAGGTAAACAGTATTTGCTACTGTCTTTATCTTTTGGTAAATTAAAATGTTAACTCATGTCAATCGTAAATATATCACTTCCTCACACTTTTGGATCAAAGAGATGAGTTTTAAGGAGGCTATTAAAAGGAGGACAGAGAGGTGGAAAGGTTTAGCGAGAAAGCTTCAGAGCTTAGGATCTATACAGTTTGAGTCACGGTTAATGATGGTAAATGGTGGGGTGAGTGCTGTTGTCTAAGATGCTGAAAAATATAAATTCCTTGGAAAGTTGTAGGGTTGTGGGAGGAGAAATGATATGGAGGGGCAAGGCCATGGAGAGATTTAAACACAAGAATGAGAATTTGAAAGTCAGGCATTTGTGCATCTGTAGCCAATACCAGCCAGCAAGTAAATGGGTGATAAGCTGAGCAGAGCCAGGAATCAGGCTGCAGGCTTCTGGTTCAGCTTCAAATATCAAAGACAGATTACAGTGTAACTACTGAAGGTAACAGAAATTGTTAGAATTGCAACATACATGGAGAAATATCTCCCAAGTTCTGAAAGAAATAGAACTTTAGAAACAGATTACACCATAATCTGTTGTTGATATTTGAAGCTGAACCAGAAGGTTCTGATGAAGGGTCACTGGACCCAAAATATTAACGCTGCTTTCTCTCCACAGATGCTGCCGAACCTGCTGAGTTTCTTCAGCAATTTCTGGTTTTGTTTTAGAACTTTCACTGTATTGTAGGTCATGAAAAATATTGCAAAGGCATTGCACTGCAAAAAGGGTGGGGTGTTACATTCTGGCTCTAGCAGAGAATGATCAGTTTTTCACATTTTTTCAGTGCCAGATTTATTTTATAACTTTTGAGGCAACGTTTGATTGCACTGGATCCCATTCTGCTGAACAAGTTTCCCATAATGGATGGGACACAACTGATATACAATTTGAGGAAGTTCTGAGGAAGGGTCTCCGGACCTGAAACATTTACTCTGTTTTTTCCTTCACAGATGCTGCCAGACCTGCTGAGCTTTTCCAGCAACTTTGTCTTTGTTCCTGATTTACAGCATCCGCACTTCTTTTGGTTTTTATTTGATATCCAATTTGCCTCTTTTCAATCATCAGAAATGTTACCAGTATCACAACAGTGTAACCATACATGATGCTAAAGCCTCCCCAAATGGGAGCCTATAAAGTAATTATTGTTCAGTACACAGTGTTAATAATTAAGCTGATATGAAGAAGATTTTTTAAAATTCTTATTTCATAAGACATATTACTGCCAAGGTCTGCTTTTAATGCTGTTCCCAAATTACCCTCGAGAAAATGGGGTTGCTGCCTTCTTGAAATGTTGCAGTCCATATAAAGAAGATGCTCCCATTGTGTGTTGGATAGATCTTTCAGTTTTTACCACGCTGCAATCACACAACAATGTTTGAGGATGGTATGTGGCTTTGAGGGGAACATGAAGCTAATGGGATTTGACAATAGTAATACCACTGAATATCAAGTGGACACATTTTACTATCTCTCACTGGAGATGGCTAAGATCGGGCACGTATGTAGCAGGAATTATACTTTTATCAGCCCAAGCACAGACATTATTACATGCAGGCCAGGAACTGTTTAAATATCTGAGAAGTTGCAAATAGTCTCATAAACCATGCAATCATGAATAAACATTCTCATTTCTAACCTTATAGAAATAAGGTAATTGATGAAGCAACAGAAGATGTTTGGCCCCAGGTCACTACCTTGAGGAACTCCAGCAAAAGTGTCTTAGGAAACAGTCATTTCCTTTTACTTAACTCGAGTATTGGTTCACAAGTGGATTCTGATTGGTAGAGGCATTGCCATGGAAATTGCACCAGTAAATGATGACTGAAATTTGTTTGCCTAGCTTTGCTTAAAACATTAATTTTAATGCAGGCAGGTTGACTTCAACCAATCAGCCCTTTCATCTCATTCAGTAACTCTCTTGAGTTTTGTGTTTCCTGTAAATTGGCCTGATGAGTGTGAGACAAAAAGCTTTTGAGTCTTTTTTTAGGAATACTCAAAAGCCATGGGAATGAGATTAGAGACAAAAAACTGCAGATGTTGGAATCCAAGGTAGACAAACAGGAGGCTAGAAGAACACACGAGCCAGGCAGCATCTGGAGGAAAGGAGAAGTCAATGTATCAGGTATTACCCTTCCTCAGGACTGAGATGATTGATCACCAACAATCATAATAATTCTCCTTTGTGCTAGGTCAGACTCCGACCAGTGGAGAGTTTTCCCCACATTCCGATTGACTTTAGACTTGCTGAGTTTTCTTGATGATATATTCAGTTAAATACCGCCTTAATAGTTAAGGTAGTCCCAGCTTATCTCTGACATTCAATTCTTTTGTCCATATACAGACCAAGGATGTAATGTGGTCAGGAGCTCAGTGGCCTGGGCACAAATGTACCTGAAAATGATTGAGAATGCACTACTGAATAGCGTTGGCTACAGTAAAACATTTTCCATTAGATTGAGAGGAGACTGATAGGCCTGCAATTGGCTTAATTAAATTTGTCCTGTTTCTTGTGGGTAGGACACACCTAGGCAGCTTTCCACTTTGTCAGGGAGATGTCAGAGTTGTAGTTATCCTGGAAAAGCTTGGCTGTTCTGGTGTTTAAATCTTCAATTATTGCCAGAATGTTGTCAGGGCCCAAAACATTTGCAGGAACCAGTACACAAGCATTCCTTTATATGACATGCCATGACTTGTATCAACTGGAAACTTGTTGAAATTCATTTACAGAATGTGGGTGTCACTGGCACAACTAATTATATTGCCTATCCTTAACTATCCTTTAGGAGTTGGTGGTGAGCTGCCTCCTTGAATTGAACTGAGTATTCTGCTTGGCCGCTTCAGAGGTCACTTAACAGTGAATCATACTGCTGTGAGATTGCTGTGGTGGGAACTGAACTCATGGCTCTTGAGGGCGTGTAAAAACAAATCCGTCAGCAAGGTAATGCTCTACTGAGTCAGAATCCTCTGGATTACTAATCCAGGAATAGCTGTCAAACCAGCATGCTGAGTACGTTACCACCTGTATCATACCAGGCTCTGCTTCATCACTGTCCTTTGTATTCATGTGTGGCCCCCACCACATCATTGAGCATGGTAACCTCAATGCACTATGGCTCTCAATCGTTAGGATAATTACAGTTGTTATGAGTGCACTGAACCATAACATAAGAAGAGAATAAGAATGAAACCAGACAGACCACTCAAGGTACTGGCCAAGGTATTGGATTTAAGCAGAGGAACAGTGCCAAATTTTGAAATGGAGCAGTTTAAATGTTTGAATGTCACAAAGATGAGCTTCTTTTTCCTTCAGGTGGAGGTGCCTGAATGGCACTGCAGCCGAACTGCTCTCCTGGGTTTGAGCTCAATAAACACATGCACAGCGCTTGTGAATGATTTCTCATT